ATTACTTCTAAAGGCCAGATGGATAGTTTTCAAAACCTCTCACTCAATTTTGGTCTAGGGAAAAATGATTTTTTTTTTAGATATCTCCAGCTCCGTCACTACTTTGTGAAGGAAATACAGAATGCACTGACTGAAAACCCCTCTAACCTAGTTCAGATCTTTATGGATACTTACAACAGTGGTAGTAGAAAAAAAAAAAATGGTAGGAAAATTTTACAAAATCTTAATCTCAACTGATAATAAAACTCACCTTCATGTGAAAAAACAATGGGATAAAGATCTAAAAACAGAAATATCAGAAAACTGCACTACTAACTCACTCATTTGGAAAGATTTCTGTTGGCAAAGCTTGATCCGTTTCTTTATTACACCTGTACAGAAATCAAAGATAACGGCTGTGCAGCCCTCCTGCTGGAGGGAGTGTGGATCTATTCAGGCAGATCATGCTCATATATTCTGGTCATGTCCAGGTAGAACTGACTTTTGGTTAAAGGTGAATAACTTAATCTACTCTGTGTTAGATATTAGAGTGGATCAGTCTTTCCCTACACTGTTTCTTAGTGTACCGCCCAGGGGACTACACCAAAGTGACTTGTATATATTCAGGATTATCCTTGTTGTTGCGAAGAAAGCCATCACAAAGTGCTGGCTCAGAAGAGAAACTCCCACAACAACTCTAGTGATACAAATTATCGAGCAGATAAGATCAATGGAACTTATGACTTATTCTCTCCGTGTACAACAGCACAGGGGGGAAAATACTGGAAAAAATGGGACGATTGTTCACACTCTGTGACAGACGACAATGTTTTGTAAGAAATGATATGTACCTGTGAAACTCCCTCAGGTATACTTGTTTCTAGGTTTTCTTTATTCTTTTCTACTTATTTGTTTGTTTACCTTTCTGTTATATGCCCAAATATGTTTTAAAAATGAAAAATAAAAAGTAAAAAAACAACAAAGTCTTTAAAAGCAGGAATATTTGTACCGACAGGTACCTACCTTGATTTACGAGTCACCTGGAAGGCATTTTGTGAGGGTGGGCTTTCACTTATCACTGTGGGCATGTAAACCTCAAAATCTTTGGGGACATTCTGTATGTTTGGTTCAGTAAAGCTCACTCTACCTGAAAATATAAAAAAACAGGACATAATGGGCTACACCCATTCTTGTTTATGTACTTCAAACAAAACAGCATTTCACAAAACATCTACACAGTCCGAGATCTTTCTGTGTGTTTTACCGGTGGTTGTGTGGGTCTGGGCGACTGGATATATTCTGTCCATCTTCAGTGTAGAATGATGCCGTTTCACCCTCTGCAGGGGGAAGACCACCTTAGTCAGGGTGTTATTGATCTGCCTCCACTCTAGAATCACATCTGGCAAAGGGTGCAGGGGGCGGAGTTTCTCCAGAACATCCTGAGGTGGAACATAAACCTCTCAGATCTTAGAAGTTGCTGAGATTTTTAGTTTGAAGTTGTTAGATACTCAAAACACTATGAAACATATTCTCTATGCACTGCTAAAATAATGCATATAATCTAAATCATCACAGATTCAATCATTCATTCAACCTACTTACTTTTATACTTTTATATTCTAGTTTTACATATTGGACTATGACTCACCTGAATAAACAAGCATTCTTTGAAGAAATGCATACCGCCTGCTCCTTGCACGACCAAGTGTTAAGCAAAGATTTTGCACGTTTTTATGTCAAATTGCGTGATGGGGTTGACTCTCAGCTATAACCACATCATATTTTAGCTTAATATCTGTACAATTTACTGATTTACAGCCATTTTTGTGTTTGCTAGAAGCCATTTTGAATTTGGTTGACTACAAAAGTTATTCACTTGTAGACGTACATCCAGCGAGGTGGTGTGCAATAATTATGCTGTATGAATAAACTTTCCTTTCTGAATTATAAAACGTTATAAGTTTTGCAAGAAGAAAGAACAACTTAGTATAAAGGTTGTTTGGTCACACCTTGGTGGTGCTGAAGTGCTTCCCAAGGCGTGCTCTGCCTCCACCTCTCCTGGTGTAACCCAGAGTCTTCTTACTCCTTGGTCCACCTGCATCACCATTAGGAGGTAAATGAAGCTCCAAGAACAACACCTACAGTGTGAGCATGAATCAAAATGAGTTATTATCATACCCTGATGGAATTACAGTCAAGACAAAAACATGGCTGCGGCACAGAAAAACAGCGTCTGACCTGCACTACGTCATCGACGCTGGTGAGGGAGAAGGTGTGTCCTGCCAGGCTGTAAGCTTCTGACTCCAACGCTGAAAGTTTGGCTTGCATCACGTTTTTGTCTCTCGCACTCGTCCACACTGAAACCAACTCATTTCAGCTCCAACAGGGCCAGACAAACCTGGGAGGGCATCTCTATATTCCTCAATAAATCTGACAGAAACATTCAACACTCCAAAAACAGTCCACAAGCAGTACAGTACATTGAAGGATTTGAACAGTGAATGTTTGTACTTTTTGAGATGAGTGTTTTTCTGGACGGGAAGTGAGCAGGGGATGTAAGTAAACTTTAATGTTTTTGGAGTGAGATATTCAAGTGGGCAGGCGTTACACCATGGAGAAGAACAGAGGGAGTTTTTCTTTCTTGTCTGAGGCAGTGAGCATCAATCCTGGCAAGTGGAGGAAGCAATATTATCCACCACAAGGTGCAGTGGCAGAGCCAGGGGGTGGCCGATGGTGGCCTTGGCAGCCATAGATAAATCTTTGGCCACCCCAGTCATTTGAGGAAACTGATTTCAATCAATATAAAAAATAGAAAGCATAGTTTCTTTAAATGATAGGGGTGGCTGGTATACATAAATATATGGCAGTG